CACTTATATGTAATTATTTTTAGTCCAGGCACTTATTTGTAATTATTTTCACTTTCCGGGCACCTATATGTAAATTCCCCAATAAAATTTTATAATTATTACAATGCATTCATAACTCAATAACTTATAAATACCTGAATCTTGTAGGTTCGGAGCACTTGGGGGAACTTTCTAGAGAGGGACGCTCAGAGAAACTTTCTGGGGGGGAGCACTCTAGGGAACTATCTGGGGGGAAGCACTCTAGGGAACAAGAGCGCGAGGAACATATGGTGGAGCTGGAGTACTCCGAAAATAAACGTTCAGGCATGGGGGAACGTTTAGGCAGTTCAGGCACGGGGGAACGTCCAGGCAGTTCAGGCACGGGGGAACGTTTAGGCAGTTCAGGCACGGGGGAACATTCAGATTTGGGAGAACGTTCAAATTCAGACTCGGGGGAACATTCACGTTCAGACTCGGGGGAACGTTCAGCCTCAGGGGAACGTACAGCCTTGGGGGAACATTCAGCCTTGGGGGAACATTCAGTCTCGGGGGAACATTCAGTCCCGGGGGAACATTCAGTTCCTGGGGAACATTCAGGTGAGGAGGAACGGTACGAAAACAAATTAGAGATGTAGTGAAACATATTAATTGATTATCTTGATTTTTATGTTACAAATTTTTTGGTCCAAGCTTTTTTTGGTCTAAGCTTTTTATTTCAGTATTTATCAGCCAATTAGACGGAACTCATGACGTGATAACGCGATCAGTGTTTATTTTTCATAGTGTGTGTATGTGCCCGCACAGGCGCGGGTACGTGAAAAATAAATACTGAACGCGATCATCTAAAAAATTAACTGAACGGTTAAATTTCACGGAAAGAAAACATTGGGTAGCCTATATTAACGGCCATTCGGCTTTACTTAATGATTTAGATAAGAACATATATGGAAAAACTTCAGGTACTTAAACATACAGAGATAATGATAATAAGTTTAGTTCACTTATTTATTATATTTTATTTAATATAGAAAAGCAGAAAAGCGCAGGCATGATAATTCAAAACTATTCTTATAATATTTTATTGAGTTAACTTTAGGGTTAGGGTCATCTTAAATTTAGACTAAATGTTTAAATAAAAGTTAAGTTTTTCAATTAAATTTACATCTCGAAATAACAGTAAATTTTAATTTAGTTTAATATATTAATTTTTTTTTCTATTTACTATTCTGTATTAGTCAAAATCGTTTCTTGGTAAGTAGTATCTAGAGTACACTTATTACGGCGTCGTGTGTGAGCAATGATACTATCGCGACCGTATACATTAGACTGGCCAGAGTTTCTTTAGTTTGAGTTCGCCGGGGCTAATTTGTTATA